GATTAATATTGGCGAAGTTACGATACAATAAAGTTTTAAGTATAATTCTGGCTAAAATTATGTTAATTTTTGGCCAGAATTATGATATACAAATATAAGAAATTTTTTATATAGTCACATCTCTTTATAATCACCAAATATGGACTGTCCCAAATGTGTGACTATAAAGAGAGTTGACTGTATACCTTACTATACAACAAATAATTTTCAAACGGTAAATAGGACTTCGCGCTAGTCGACTTTATGATTTGGAAACAGTTCACATTTTCTACAGCTGGTCAGTCTTGGTCTTATTATGTGTATCTTGGATCCTATAACTTGAATAGAAGATGCTGCTCTTTTCTTACTTTTTCAGGCTACTTGGAAGAAGATCGATCTGGATGGAGTTTTTATTTCATAGTTTTATTCACTTATTATATAATTTTTTTTTCTTTTTTTTATTCGCAATGTAGTGGGTCCTGTGAATGTCTTGTGTAGAAAGAGGAGCATTTAGGCCATTTCTAAATGAACTATATTTTCTGAGCAAAAATTTTACCTGACAGTACACATGTAGGATGTTCTCTAGCATGACGAGTGGTTTGATAGTTAATAATATTAGATAGTTAGATTAGGTTTTTTTTACTTAATGTATTTTCTGAGTCTTTTTGCTGTTTAATACTAAACTATCAAATGCATTGCAAAAAAAAAAAAAAAAATAATTAATAATAATATTGATTATATTCACATTTTATAAAAAAAAAGGGATAGTTGAAATGTTTTAATAGTTGATGGTATTACCGGTCTTAATAATATTTTGGATGAATTAGGGGTTGTAAGTTTTGGTATTCTTGACAGTTGAGTTCTTCTTGGCAGGTTAGATTGTATTGCTAAAAAGAATAAAATGTTTTAGATGGTTTTTTCTATATACACTTAATATTATAATACCCAAGAAACTTGATTCTGCAATTACAATTCACAACTGCATTATTAGGTCTATTTATCTGTGTAATTAATTGAGTAATTGTAAAAGAAATGGTTTATATATAAAACAAATCCAGACAAGCAGTAAATATATATATTAAAAAATGGAATTCTTATATAGAAAGTACTTTAAAGAGGATTAATTGCACAATCTAATTATAGATAAAATATTTTTTTTAAAAAAAAATCAAATTTAATAATTTAATAATTTTTATTTTCAAAATTATTAACAACTTTTTAAAGAACAAAAATTTACAAGAAATTTCTTTATTAATAATAATTTACTTAAAACTATTTTAGTAAATTATTTAAATCAAATAATTTACTATTGATATTAAATAGGAATTTTGATATTCCATCATTATTTCCAATAATGAAAATTTAAATCAATTTCCATTTCTGTTTAAATTTAAGAATTTTCGATTTGAATGAATTTAATCCATTTTTCCATTATTAAATATTTTAAATTTAGAAATTTTTTATGATAACGCTGAATTAATACCAGAAATGGTTTACGAAAGAATTAATATTTGGAAATCAGTATAAAAATAACTTGATTATATATCCCCTTTTCAGGGTTGAAAGAAATTACATCGAGTAACACAGAAAAATTTATTATTTTAAAATACCAAAAATACCAAAGCTATTTAATGAGGTCGCACGTGGCTGAATATAAAATTCCAAGGATGTAATTAGCCAGAGTTACACAAACTGGTAATGTATAATTCTCGAAAATACTTCTCCTCGCTTCTTTTTCATCCCTTTCATACTTAAAATTAAAATTTTATATACTTTATAACAATGACTTTCGATTTTCATTTTCTATTATCACGAGATTACAATAAACTTCTTGATTCCAGTGCATATTCTGATGTTATTATTCAGGTCGGACAGGAACCCGATTATCAGGAGTTTAAAGTACATTCGCTTGTACTGCGAGCACGTTCACCTTATTTTAATGCTGCTTTATCGAGCGAATGGATAAGAAAACAAGAAAATATGATAATATTTAACAAACCAAACATGTCGCCAGAGGTTTTTGAAATCATACTCAAGTAAAAAATTTTTATAATATATGAAACGATTAATTATTTGTTTTATTATTTGTTGGAATATTTTTTTTTTTTTGGAATTAAAACAACTTAAGCGTAAAAAAATCTTTGATGAATTATATTACAGGTACGTCTATGGTGGATGTCTTCGGCTGCAAGGACATGATGTACCAGCAATTCTATCTGTTCTTACTGCAGCAGACGAATTGTGTTTAATCGACATATTTGATGTTGTTGAAGATTATCTTCTACAAGATCTTGACAAATTGTTAAAACATTTCATTCAAGTTCAAAGATTTGCAACTCAACATCATCATTTTACAAAATTACACGCATTTTGTGCTAAAACTATTGAACAAGACCCTTCAATAGTATTTCAACATGAAGAATTTAACCTTATCACACAAGATACATTGATCTCCCTTTTAAAACACGATAATCTTACCATGCGAGAAATAGATTTATGGAATAAGGTTATCGAATGGGGTAAAGCACAAGATTCATGTCTTTTATCAACGGAAATCGAAAATTGGACGAACGAAAATTATTTGAAATTATCAAGTTTAATTCAACCTTGTATTCAATTAATTAATTTTTCATTGATTAATAAGGATGATTTCTTAGAAAAAGTCGCACCTTTAAAACCAGTTTTTAAGGATGATTCTTATAAACAAATTTTAGATAATCATGAATTACAAAAATCTTTACGATCGAAAGAAATTGATTCAAATTTGATTAATTCAAAACATATAACGTTAATATGTAGTTGGTTAATAAATGATAATAATATAACGGAACAAAACATACCTTTCGAATTTCAATTACTCTTAAGAGGTAGTAGGGATGGGTTTGGATTTAAGGTATTTCACGAATTATGTGATTATAAGGGGCCGACGATAACGATTTTAAGAGTTCATAATTCCGGAGAATTATTAGGTGGTTATAATCCTATAAATTGGGATTCATCCAAAAAAACTTTTAGTAAGACAAATAGGAGTTTTATTTTTTCTTTAGGTGATAAAAATTTACAGAACGCCATATATTCAAAAATACAAGATCCTGATGAAGCAATTTATCAAAATAGAGGTTTAGGACCATCATTTGGTGGGGGTAATTCTGATTTAAAATTATATTTGGGATTAGAAGAATCTTATGGTTGTAGAGGTTTTTGTCACAAGAAAAGTTATGAAACAAGTATTATGAAAAAATCTAATGAAAATTTATTCTGGGTAGATGAATATGAAGTTTTTAAAATCATTAAAAAAACTTTATAGAAAGTTCATTATTTTTTTTTTCTTTCCTTTTTTAAATATGATGTAAATGAAATTTTCATGATTCATGATTATTATATTTTAGTCTTGTACTTTTTCAATTAAAATATATAAAAAAACTTTATTATGAATTTTAAATAAAAAATAGATTAAGATTTTATTAAAGAAAAATTACATTTTTTAATCTAAGTAAATTAGGTAAATTCTAATGATTCTAAATTGAAATTATTTTCTAATGACTTGAAATACTTCATAATCTTCAATAGAGAAAAATCCTGTAGTCATTCTAATACTTTTCTCATAACACCCTTTTAAACAATAACATTTACATTCATCTCTAAAATTATTTCCATCAATTTTTAGATCAGCGATCCCAAAGGAAGGACCAAGATTTGGTTTATAATTTAAAGCATAAGTATTTTGTCCTTTCATAAGTCTACTTAATATTGGACTTCTTGAACTATTATATGGACCACGTAAAGAAAATATGAAACTATCTTCTGTATTTCCCCAAGAACCTTTAAAAGGTTTCCATCTTATTGGATTATAACCTCCAATTATTTCACCCGTACCACGAATTTTTATTACTACTAAAGTTGATTGTCTATTATCACATATTCTATGAAAATTTATTGGAGAAAGACCATCTTGACTACCTCTAAATAATAATCTAAATTCATAAGGACTATCTAAATCCAAATAATCTTTACGACCAATCCAACTTGCAAGTAGATTAACATTTTCTGATGTAATTAATTCAGAATCTATATCATCAAGTCTAAAATCTGGATGAGGAGAATTTGGACGAGAATTTTGTCTAGAACTTGGTCTAGAATTAGGTCTAGAATTAGGTCGACTGATAGTATTTTTATTATTTTGAATAGAAGTACGTCTTCTTCTTGATGGTAAAATATTTGAAGATAATTGACTACCAGGTTTCATATAATGTCTCATTAAATCTTCATAAAGATGAGAGGATAAAATCTTTTTATAAGGACGAACATTATCATAAAATTCTTGTGAAGTTAATTCAAAAAATCTAATTAAAGGTATACAACGTCTTAATGATATTTCTAAAGCTTTAAATTCATCTGAAGACCAATTAATTGGATCATCTGTAAGTGAAGGATTTTGTCCTATACCCCATTTAATAATATGATTCCATATTTGTATTTCTTTCATACCTAAATTATCACGTTGTAAAAGTGAAATTAAAAAATTTTCTTGAATTGAAGTAAAATCTTGTGATTGAAATATTATAATAGGATTTTTAGTAATTATATTATTACAAAATTTTTGTAATTCTTGAAATGTTTCATGTTGAAAACTTGTTCTATATATAAGATCAAAATTTTGTTTTAACCAAGGTGTATGATTTTCTAATAAATATATTTGTAAATGTTTAACTAATTCTTGAAGACAAATTTTATCTGTTATAACCAAGAGATTTAAAATATCATATGTACTTTGATCTTCTAAAGCGAGAATACCGGTATAAATATATCTAATAATAAATAAACAATGATACGATTAACGATTGAGACGCAAACGTGGCAAACGTGTTTTATATGGATGATCAAAAACGTACCTGAGCATAACTTGAACGGTTTCACAAGAAGCATTTAATTTAATAGATTTAACCCTACCATCTACGGTTTCTCTAGATAATACTCTACGAAAATAAGATGATCTAAAATTTAAGATAAGTGAATGCACACGAAATATTTTATTATTTGGAGGATATCCTGCTTCGATAGAAATATCACAATATGTATCATCTTCGTAAAGTTCCGCGAAATCATGTGATAATTTTTGATAAAATTGAACATTCATTTTTCGTTTTTTTTTAAGCTTTAATAGCTTTAATAGCTTTAATAATATTAAAAAACTTTTCTTTCTGTTATAATTATCAATTTTTTTTTTAAAAAAAAACAAGAGAGTAAGAGGAAAGAATTATGATTTTTTAAAATGTTTTTTCTGGTTTTAATTACCAATTTTTTTTTTTTTTTAAAAAAAAAACAATAAAGAGGAGGAAATGGAAAGAATTATGATTCTTAAAACAAAATTAAAT